TTGGAGGAATGTTTTTATCCCCTATTTGCAAATGGAAGAATTGAGCCTCTCTGAAATGAGGTGGCTTGCTTGGTTTGAACCCAGATCTTCTGGCCCCAGAACTCTGGATTGACCTTGTTGCTAAGGGAAAATGTTAAAGGAGGCAGATTAGTGCTGATTTGATAGCTTTTACTTGGGGGAAAGGATGGGGACCATGCATTGGTTCATCAAGTCCTAATTCTGCTGCTTCTGGAAGAAGGCATGTCAGAGAAATGTCTGTGTGCAGTGAGCTGATGTAAATCTTGACGCTTTCAAAATAGCACACACTTGAAAGACCATTTCAGTAAGGTTCTCAGCCTCCTTAGAAACACAGCATTAACGACAGTGACACTTTGCACTAAATGAGCAATTTTGTAAAAGTGTTAATAAACCAAAAGGAGCTTAGGGAATGTTGAGGCAATGTGAAGAAATACTTTCAACTCTTGATTGCTACCTCTTTATTGAGAAGCCTAAATAAGAGCTGAAGAAGAGGAAGAAGCAATTTCTTGTGTTCTTGGACTTTGCATTTCCAGTTTTGAGCCCTAACTAGGAGTATTACTAGGTTACCCAGAATCGTCAAGTTTGTTGAGACACTGGGATTTAGGACTGCCTGGAGGCAGTGCTGAATGTGATTTCAGCCTGCAGGGTGACTTTCGCAGTGTGTGGGAGCCACACTGAGCAGCCAGAAGGTTTAGGGAGGGCGTGCATTGGTGAGCACGCCAGTGAGAAGATCCTTGATAGAGGCCCTCTTCAGACTTTTAGGCTCTATACTTTGCTTTCATTTTCAACTGTTTCTTCTCTTTTTACCTTGGGTCAGATAAAAGCCAGTGCTGACAGAGCAGATTTGTCACACTTTCAGCATACCAGTTCCACCACTGTCAAAAAACCACCCTTATCAGGGTGCTTTGACCTCAGCTGTTGAACATCATTCATAGTTCTGGAGCTTCTTGCAAACCTACCCCCCACCCCTAAAAAATTGCCATGCTAAGTAATTGGAACCTTTATGCTTAACTAACCAGAGTCACTGCTCACATTAGAGTTAAAATTTGTATGAATGAAAAATTAATCTTGCAGAAATGTTGTAAGAAACTGTAAGGCCCATTTACATTTTGACTAGCACTGTCTGGGGTTGTAGGTGCACTTCTATGTTGAGCTCAAGTTTGTCTGCTGGTTCTTCCTGGTCTACTTTATTCTATTATCAAGTCTCTTGTGTTTGCTGTCAGACTTGGGTTAGGGCTTAACCCAATCCTTCTACAGGGCTTGTGAAAGCATGCTTATTTATCTGGATTTACCCTTGGCCTGCCTTTTATGATGATAATCCTTCCCTAACATCTTCTATCCATGCTTCCTGGTGCTCCTTCAGGTGAGACTGGCTGACATGCCTATTTGAGAGGCTGCTTCTGGGAAGAAGAATGGAATTTGACAATGAAGGCTAGATTGTGTTTTACTTCATTTGCCAAATTGCTTTCTCAGTAGCCTGAAGAGAAACAGAAGGTCTTGTATGGAAGAGAAAGAGTTTCTGTGCTCCCTTGAAACCAAGTACCTGGCTCTCAGCCAGGCCATGTCTGTACCAAGGAACAAGGTAGCAAGTCAGGTTTAAGAGCAGGTATTTCAGGAGATGTGTCTGTGCCTGCTAAATCCTTCTTGAGACAGAGGATAGGACATAAGATTCTTCATGGGTTTCAGAATCAGGAAATGAAACTGACTATGGGGCATTTGAGGGGTCAGGAACACATGTAAAGCAGAGGACTTGCAATCTCCAAATGGGTTTAATAGGCAACCTTTGTTTGGTGAGTGTGAGCCTAAAGGAGTGGAAAGAGGTTGAAGGGGGTGTATGTAGTAAACCCAGGAGTTGACTGTGGCTATGGGCAAATTATCTACCCATTGTGGCACTTACTTTTCTTACTTGTGGTCTGGTGATGATCTATAATCTGCCCTACTGAATATTTGGGGATGTGGAGTATAATAATAGCCCAGGGTCCTAACTCATGGTCTCTTGTTCCAAAATTGCTGAACTAGAAGCTCTTCCATTAGCAGGCTGGGTGCATTTGATAAAAAATGAGCAAATTTTAAAGACCTCAATATTTAGGAGGCAGTACTGTGGTTTATCTCTTTTCTCAATGGAAGACTGTTGTCTTTTTCCCCCCTCCCCTCTCCACCTCTCCCCTCTACTCTCTTTTCTTTAAATTTAGTGTTCCTATAACATTCTATAAATTAGAACCTCATTTTCCTTATGTATATCATGGGAATAAAAATATCTGTCCTGCCTGTCTCAGTGTGTAGTTGGGAGGGTCCAATAGGATGATGAATGTCAGAGCTTAAAGCTTCTTGTAAATGCAGGAGATAGTGGTGATAGTTCTGTAACATTTGGCATAGAGGGCAGCATTCATATTATGGAAGGAAGTTTGGGGAGCAGCCTCTAGCTCTTTTTTTTTTTTTTTTTTTGTCAACTTTTCAAAATTATCTTCCTTCTAATTTGTTAGAAAGCAAAATTTGACTTAGTGGCTACGCCTCACAGCTCAGAATTCATGTACCCAAGACTCTGGGCTTATTTAAGCTGGTGTAAGTTAGGGGTAGGGAGCCCAGCAGTTGCTGTTAGAGTTACACAGAGTCTGTGAAAAGGTGCTTGCTGGCTGCTGGATCTGCTCCAGGCACATAGAAGATTTGCTCTGTGCCTTCAACTACCAGAGATTCACCAACTGAGGACCAAAGGCTACTTGGGGGAGTACTGAGTGCCACACAAATATTGTCATTCAGGTATAAAGGAAAAAGAGAGAGATATAGGGAGAGGGAGTAGTGGTGAGTGGTGCTGTTTTTCTGATGCCTTGTCTTCAGGCCTTTCTGATCATGGGCAGGAAGCGCCCACCCCCATAGATTCAGAAGGGAAGGGGACAGCAGCTTATCATGCAAAAAGTATAGAATTTACAAATAGAGGACCTAGATTCATGTTCCAGTCTTATCATTTATCAGTAAAGTTATCTAGTGCAACTCAATTTCTCTGAGCTCAGTTTTCTCATTCATAAAATGAAGTTAATGGTGTAAATGACTAAGATGCATAAGAAAATGTCTTGTAGACTATAAAGCCCCTTAGAGGTAATAGTGAATAGAGGTGTTATACTTTATTGTTACTTCTGTTATAAGCAGGGCAAGTTAGAGTTTGCATTTTCAAGTTGCTTGCTGAGTGGAGATGGGTGCAAATAAAGCCTAATCCTTGCACGTGATGCAAGGATTTCTGGAACAGGTGTTAAAGAGGCCCGCTTCTCATCCTTATCTCAGATCTCAAATGTTCATACTCCAGCTCTGCTTTTTTTGGGAAGACCAGACTCCTGCCTGCCAGATGAAGTCATAGGATTCTGTGGCTTGCCTGGGAGCAGGAGCCAGGAACTAGAGGTTGGCTGTGACTGGGATGGGTGAGGGTGCAGTAAGGGTGTTGCACAGTGGCAGACCAGGGAGTAGCCTGGCCTGATGGCTCTGCCTGCTTCACATTTGGCTTAATAAGACCCAAGCTGCTCTAATCTTCAGGGCCCAGCTTACCCCAAACACCAGGACAGAGTAAGGAAAACTTTGTAGGCCTCGAGAGTTTTTCTTTTTTAACCTAATCTCCAGAGAGACTCAGGGCTTAATTTAGAGATGGGGCTAATATCTTAACATTACCAAACTGAGGTGATCTGTTGAGTCTGACAGTGAAAGGAGCTTGCTTGAGGAAATGACCATGCCTTTTGACTCAGTAACTTTACCTTTGGGACTTTAACTTAAGGAAATCATTTGACTTGCAGGAAAATTCTATGTTCAAAGATGTATTGATTTTAGTTGTGGGGGGGCAAGCATTTAAAATATCCAGCATTAGAAAAAGGTAAATCTCAAGTGTAAGCACTACAGGGTAGACACTCTTTTGTTCCCTCTGTACCTCTAGCACCCACAGCAGTGCCTACATGCAAACATGCAGTGGCAGTTTTTGAACAGTTATATAAAAAAATATATACTAGTTCAGCCATTTCAACTGAAAAAATCTTAATAGAGTAGGATATTTTCTACATTAATAAGATGTGAAAAAACATTCTATATATATATATATTTACATATATATATGTAAATATATATACTAAAAATCACAATTTTCTTAGTAGAATGGAAAAAAGAAGTTTAAATGGAAAAGATATCCAGATGGTGACAACAAGGGTGACTTTTTTTTTCTTTCCAAATTTTGTAAAATTTTGAAAATGACTGTGATTTTATATGGGATTTTTTTCAATAAATCCTTCTTTTTAAAAAAGGAGATTATTTATGAAACAAACCAGCAGCCTCAGAGATAGCTCCTCCATCTTCGGAAAGAACCAGGCAGTCTTTGTCAACAACAAAACACCTACACACTTTGGTGGTGTCTGTCAGCTTGGCATGGAAGCTGATCCCTCTGAACTTCAAAAGGTTGATAGAAACTCCACAGTGTTGAAATTGTCTGGGGTCATGTTGCAGAAACATATCCATATGTTTATTATTCCATCTTTGAACCGAAGACATTTTGTAATAGGGAGAAGAATTTTAAGAAGATAGAATTGGCTGGGTGGGTGGTTAATTCTTAGAATTCTTTCTCTGGTTCACAGTTTAGGGAAGTTGTTGAAAGTGTTGTCTGCTCGCCTTCATTCTTGTTTTAGCTCATGCTGTCTTACAGTAATTTTTTTATTCAACGTCTCAGTGTATTGGAGTAAGCACTTCATGAAATGTCTCCCTAAGATACTGTGTTTCCTCAAGCCTTAGAATTAAAATCTCTGCCTTCTAGATGGGCTTTGGCACCAAGCTGGGAATTCTTGGTTTTGTGACGTTGCTGAGTTCTGATCAATGTGTCTCAGAGGGAAGATCTACTTTTCTTACCCTATGAGGAATCTTTTATGGCCAGAGGTCCCCAGATATTACCGACCTGTTGATACTCCTGCTTTCCTTCTCATTCACATGAATTCTCATTCCTCATCTCTCTCTCTCTCTAGCCATAACCAGCAGACCACAGCATTCAGGCATCCTGTGACTGGGCAGTTTTCTCCAGAAAATAGTGAATTCATTCTTCAAGAAGAGTAAGTATTTTTAAACATTCTCCTTATCCAGGCAGGGATTGGGAGATTGAAGGCATTTAGTCAAAACAAAGCTTTCTGGACTATTTTCTCTGTCATGTAGCTGAGCTTGGAGTGGGTTGGTTGATTCAAAGTGACGTAGAAGAATAATTTTCCTTCTCAATCTCCAGACTTCTTTCAGTGGGAGAGGAGTGGATAGAGAGATGTGCTGTTCTTGGTACAGACACAGCCCCTTAAAGTTTCCTTTCCCCTGATGCCCATCATTTAACACATTAGCTGTGTTCTGACTAGACCCTTCACCTTGTGCGAAAGTACTTAAATACAGCCTCTGACCGAGTGGAACCAGCCTCAAGTAAGGGTTCAAAGCCAGGGTCGAGAAGACAGGAAGCTGGTGAGACCCACCATCCATGAACATTTTGAGCCCTTTCTATTCTTTTTCTAATGTGGGAACTTTCCTATTCCATGGCTCCATTTCAGCCAGGCCTCTGGCATGCTCACAGGTGGGTTCTGCCCTCAGAGCATGTCTACTTAAAAATTCAGGAGCAGCCCAAGCAGGTTGTACTCTTTTCTCAAAACTGAAGGCTGGAAATGCTCACAAGTGTCTCTGCTCCCTTGTGCTCATCTGAGACAGTTCTGTCTGAAGAAATATTTGTTTAAGAAGTAAATGGATATTAGCATTAAGCTTTCTTTAAGTTATTTTTCCTCTGCTCAGGCACTCAGACCAAATATGATCTTAAAATAAAATATCTGTATTTATATTTTTATAGCATTCCCTTGCCCCCCAATATTTACCCATTTGAGCATTTTATTGTGGAAAACTTTAAACATACAAAAGTAAAGAGATAGGGTAATAAATCCAAGGCACTCAAATTTTTATTTCATCTATACCTTCCCCATTCACTCCCTGAATTATTTTAGAGCAAATACAAAAACATATCATTTCCTCTAGATGGTATTTGTAGCTTAGAATCATTATTCCTACAGAACTTTTAAAATTAGAAATCTATAATTGTGACAATACTGATGTTCCTTGTATGTTTATTCTACTGGAGGCTTTTCATGCATATTTCTTTTAATGCAGTAATCTTGAGATGCAGACCATCATCACAATTTTAGAGATGAAGATATTGAGACTTAAAGAAGTCAAGTCACTTGCTCGAAGTTTCATTACTAGGAGAGTCAGGATGTCACCCATGATAGTTGGGCTTCAAGGTCTATGCTGCCTTTGAATGGTGTATTTCTTTAGTCAAACCCAACTTCTGCCCTGGTCAGAGGCAGCTTACTAAGTTATTTTGGTGCTGGTAGTACATGGGACATGACAACCAGACTCTGGGGCTAGGGGTGTGACTTTAATAGTTCATGTTGAGCATCTTTAATCTGAAATGCTCCAAAATCCAAAACATTTTGAGTGCTGTGTTGGCACTCAGAAAGGGTTTCAGATTTTGGATTTTTGGATTAGTGATGTTACACTGGTAACGTCTATGGAAATACTCCAAATTCTGAAAAACTCTGAAATCTGAAACTCTGAAATCTTCTGGTCCCAACCATTTTGGATAAAGGATACTCAGCCTGTAGTTGAAAGTAGAAGGTTAAGATTGTCTTCCCGCCTACATTGAGAAAGAACTGCTTGTCAAGACACAGCCAATGTGAATTCCCCAAATTCCAGCTCAGAATGAGTTTGTTTACAGAATCCTGGAGGTCAGAAGCTCCTAGAAATTCATTCAGTCATTCCCTCCCCTTCAAGACAAAAATTTACCTGTCATCATAGGTCTGGATAGAGGATCCATCAGAGCCCTTAGTGTGGAAAGTTACCAGCTTCAATAAGAGCTGATAGAGGTCTGAGATGCAGGTCAACTGTAGAATGATTGCCTAGCATGCAAGGAGCCCTGAGTTCTATACCCAGCACTAAAAAAACTGCTAGAGATGACACACCCTTCTCTCATTTCTAACAGAAGACTATCCCCTGGCCACTTCTGGGAAGTAGTAGTGTTGGTTTTTTCCTCCTACTCAAAATGTCTCTGTAATAATCTCAGCTCCATCTTGTTTTCAAGGAAAAGATCTTTCTTTTTTTCCAAGGCCATTTCTTGAATGTCATGAAGGTACCTGCTTATCACAGAGTGGGTGGTACAGTGTAGCCAGACATTGTCCTTCAATGGATACAATGTGCTTTAGACATTGAGAGGAAGAGAGGATTCCTAGGAACTGATGAAATGACACCTCCACTACTTATTCATAAATACCTACTGAGTGCCTGCACTATGTCAGGGGCTGTGATAGACTCTGCAGCAAAAGCAACATGGTCCTGTCATCAAGGAGTTTACTATTAATTGATCAAAGGAGACTCTAACCTGGCTAAGGACTGTGGAAGCCCCATCCCCATCCTCAGAAGGACTGTGGTTTCAGTTAAGACCTGTCTAGTTAAGGAGAACAACCTGGGCAAAGATCTAGAGGAGAGGAGGGTAGAGTGTGGAGGATCTGCACCAGTTGAGCTAGGATGATAAATGAAGAGCACTAGGTGGATTCTGAAGGTACTTGGGAGGTGAAATTGACAGGACCTGGTGATTGATTGACAGTGATGAGAATGAAAGAGAGGAGGGCAGACTTTCTTAGAGTCTAGCCCTAAGCTGGAAGAAGGTGGTGGTGGCAGGGGGTGTCTCAAGACAGGAAGATAAGTATACATGCACACATGTGTGAATCATGCATAGCTCAGGGAAGTGTTGCCAGTCTTGATAGGGTCAAAAGGCAAGAAGACTGACTTGTGGAGGTTTATGAAGGGAAGCATAGAGATAAGGTTGGAGAGGAAGGCTGCAGCCAGTTATCTAAAGTGTTTCTGCCTAAAATACACCCAGATCTACCTCCTGGTAAGGCATGATTTCCCTTCACATAAACTATTTTTTAAAGTATGCAAATGAATGAGCTGCTGTTTTGTTCCTTTGTAGGGACTTTATTTTATTGTGTAGAGTGTTAGGTGGTGAGGAAAACAGGCTGGATGCCCATTGGTGTCCTCACACATCAACTATCAGACTCATCTTGGATAGAAAAGGAAAAGTGGCTCTTTTCTTTTCCTTCTCCAAAGAATGTCTGTAAAGGCCAAATTCCAGAGAGTTATAACCACATCAACTCCTCTCCCCAGAGCCCCCACTCCAGCTTCTTTGTGCTTGTCCTTCTGAAGCAGCGTTCTCAAAGTGTGGTATCTGAACCAATGTCACCTGGTCACTTATTAGAGATGCAGATAAAAAATAAAAGCTCTTCAGGTGATTCTGCTGCAGGTAGAAGATTATGGGCCACTGATTTAGACAGTGTGCTCAACTTCTCAGCTCTCCTAAGTTACTCCCAGGTTCTTCTGTTTACCCATAAGTGTCCTCCAGATCCCCATCATTCTCTAGGCTGTGGTGAGAGTAGAGTTTAGTTAGGTAATCTTCCCTTCTCCATGGTGACTTTTCTTAGGACATTACTAGTATGAGCAGATATATCTCCCTTACTGTTGGCAGGAAGGGCTCACCTGAGCTGTTTGGAATAAGTAGTGCATGGCCACCCAAAGACCATTTGCCTCTTACAGATTAGAGGCATAGAGAAGAGAACATGAAAGCCCATAACCTGATGGGTGCAGACGGCATGAGCTCTGAGTGTTCCAGTTCCTGCATCATTAATACAGAATCCTTCAGGATAGACTGGAGTCTGCTACAGTAACAACAAAACCCAAAATCTTAGTGATTTAAAACAAGAAAGATTTATTACTTTGTCTCCATGTCCATCACAGGTCACCTGAGAGACTGCCATCTTTATTGAGGGAGGCTTCATTTCTGTGCTTTTACAGTTGCCAAAGGCAAGAAAAAGGAAACTGTATGGGTTATGCACTAGCTCTTCCACTTATCTTTTGTTGGGTAAAGCAAGTCCCTGGGCTACTTCTAACTTCAAGAGGAGCAGGGATGTGCAAATCTACCATGTACCAGGGAAAAGAATGAGATGGATTTTTTGGACAACACTAATTGATTACCCTTAACAACCCACAGTTCAGACTGATCAGTGGAAGCAGGACCCTTTGGGTCTGCCACTAACAAGCTGCGTTTGTTTCATGACTAGAATGCTTGTTTTCTCATTTCACCTTTTCTGTCGTGCTACTTAGTTCCTAAGGGGGCCAGGCATCAGTCAATAGGTCCTATAGCCTGTACACAGCTAATAAGTGGCAGATTGAGGATTTGAATCCAGGAAGTCTAGCCCTAGATGTCATGGTTCTACATAACATGCTGTAGTGCTTGGGGGGAAATCCTTGTACTCAACGTGCCAACTGAGTAGGCTACTGCTATATAGAGATTTTAATTGCAGTTGTATTTGATCTGCAATAACTTCATGTTTGCTTGAACAATGCCAAGCTTCCTCAATTGTCTCTTCTGCAGAAAGTGTTCTCAAGCCTTTTATTATAGAACCTCAGTTCCAGTGATTGGATTATTTGTGCTCCTCCTCTTAAGCCTCTTTTCTGATTCTCAGTGACTCTCTTGAATTGTAAGCTTGAAGCCAAACCCTTCAGGGCTACAGGGGCCACACAAGGGCTACAAGGAGCTCAGAAAGGAGTCATCCTTAGATTGGGACGTCACAGCTGCAGTTTTGGTGTTGGGTTCTCATGCACAGGAGAATTTTCTCCTTGGCAGCCCCTGACAAACGCCTCTGCAGCTCTCAGGAAGAGGAGAGAAGCATTCCTGAGCAGTGACGCCGGCAGCTGACTGACAGCAGGCTGTGTACACTGATCCCCAGGCTCTGTCAAGCATTTCATGTTGAAGTGGGACCTAGGGTTGAGAGAGAGTATGCGCTAGCTTTGGAAGTTCAGAAGTTCACTGTTGTGCTGAGAGTCCAGCTGCAAAGCATGCAAGATTGCCTTGGAGCATCTTAACCAGGAGAATACTCTTGACTGGCGTTCCTTCCTGGCGACCCAGTAAGTTTAGCTTGTGTCTTCATTGGGGTCTGAGCAGCCCTTCATTTTCTTACTGGATTATTTAAGAAAGAAA